GAAATCAACAACGTTATAAAGTCCTCAAAGAAATCTCCTGCTGTGTTTTAGGGCTATTCAAAAATAAAATTTAATAATAAACAGTAGTTCATCCAAATTCAGATGCTCATCCTACACCTGTAGGATGTAAAAACCTGGACCTAATCCAGCCGTTGACTTTGTTTGACTAAACTGAAATTGATTTGTGATCATGGTTCACAAATCTGTGTCTTAATGTAGCTGGTGAAAAAGTAAACATAGTAGTCCTTCAGCCAACTTAACCCTTTAATGGTTTCCTCAATCATTTGGTAGATCAATTTTTGAGGCACAATATATACTTGAACTTTTACCATCAAACTGCATCTCAACCATTTGGTAGCCTATTATTTAAAAACTTTTTTTTTTTTAAACAAATAATTTGTGTTATTAGTGCTCCTACATCTTTGAAAATCAAAAAACTGTGTTGAATTTTAATACTCAACCAGTCAAAAAGTTTTACAATCCGGATTGTTGGCCCCTGGACAATTGTAGTTATCTAAAACAGCCCTCTTACTAAAAAGGTTTGGACATATGATTGTTGTAAAGTGTCAGGGTGTCAGTATCAGGGTTGAACAGATACATTAGAATTTAACACATATTATTTACATGCCACAGTGGGGCGGCTGCGGCTGTAAAGTGCCAAACTGTTGTTGTGTCAACAACAACTTAGGCAAGACACTTCACCCGCATTCCTTAGAATGAGTCTGGTGTGTGAGTGAATGGTTGGTGGTAGTCGGAGGGGCCGATGGCACATACTGGTTGCTCACCTCTGTCACTGTGCCCCAGGGCAGCTGTGGCTACAGGAGTGAAATAAAAATGACATGTGAAGCATCTTTGAGTTTCCAAAAAGCACTATATTAAACCGATGCATCATCATTAATAACTGTACATGCATGAAAAAAGAATTCTGGTTATTGGTGCCATTTTAAAGCCTTCATTCGTTTTAAAATTCAGTGATTTCATCTTGTTTTTCCTGGCTTCTTTTTTCCCCTTCATGGTTGGTGACAGATAATGTGCTCCAGGGACGCTGTGCTGTGATTGGTCATTCAAAGTGATGCAGTGCAAGAACAAGGACATAATTAAGATTAAGAAACAGGTTATAGTTAAGGTCGTGGAGGAAGCCTGGGCAAGTAAAGAGTTAGCTATAAAAGAAGACAAGCCTTATCTCATCCTTCTTGATAGATTCAAGAAAATGTGAAAAGTATTTTCACATATCCATGGCAACAATACAGCACAAGTTCACAGCATACGTTCATCTATCCGGAGTTGGCTCCCGGGAGTCCAATGTTTTTTCAAATCTTTTAAACCCATGGATATTGGTATGGCAACTACAAATTCCCTCTTTTCCTTCTCTTTGGAAATTAATCTGTGGTACTTGTGTACTTGTATACATTCATCTAATTATAGTTACTCTTTCATTGTACATTTGTTGATCACAGCTTTACATGGAATCATTGGGTTATCTTAAAAGGTTAGTACATGATCAGAGGCGGGTCTAATGATATGCGGTGTCTCCTTTATCAGCAGCAAAGGCGTGGGAAGGAGAGCCAGAGGCGTGCGATCACAGCCATTGACCGGCATATCAATGTAAGAAGCCTGGGTTTGTGGATTTCTATAGCTTCAATTTACTAATGTACACTGCTAAACCCATTTCCTATTTCTGCGGCTTAATCCGGAAGCCTGCGTTTCCTCTGTATGCAAATGATCCCTTTTTACTCCTTCTCCGTGACATAAATTTCTTTGGCCGTCAAATATTAGCATACTTTTGTCATGAAGCACAATTCAACAGCGCGTGTGTGGAGTAATGCAGTAACCAGTTTCTCTTCCACAATTTTTCTGTCAAATATATCAAAGAATTTTCATCAAACAATGATGTCTTTGATTGGCTGTGATTATCCTGTCAAGCTGCCACAGCAGTGTTGAGACAAAGGTAGCAATTAACAGACGTCCACCTGGCGAACACTTTTAATCATGATGATACAGAAAAGCAGGGTGTATATGGAGCTCTTCCACTATACTGGAACTGCCGTGCTGGATATTCATGTCTCTGATTCATCTTACCCCGCTGTGCGATATAAGAGGCACTATTTGATAGAATGCAGACTTCTGTGGTGACTGGTATTGGTACTAGAAATTAAAGTGGAAGGCCTTCTCCAGCGCCAATAAATAATGATGTTGTTGGTAAATGGAAATAAAAGGAATTATCTTAACATATTCACAGTTTCTCATTTGGACTTGAATCACTTGCCAGGAGTAAATCAATCCCATAAACTGTATATAGAAGGACATTGCTAACTTCCAAGCTTCATGAAGCCCAATAGGGAAGTGCTTGTGAATTAAGTTTTGCTCTGTCTCCTATTGACTTACTGTACATTGAAAGTAAACTCCTATAACTCAAGATTCAAGATGCATGTATTATGTCCCTGAAGGAAATTCGTCCTGGACTCACAGGCTGCTACATTGAAAATACACATAAGACAGACATAGAACACAATATAGTAACTGACATAAACCATCACTGCTGTGTTCGGCGGCCTGCAATATCCATGGTTTAGTACTCTCTTCAATCCTGGTGTTTATATTGCAATATTGTCTTTGTGACTCTGGTCTGTGAAAGGCGGTATATAAATAAAGCTTACTTACTTACTTACTACTTGTAAATCCAGATATGAGTCCCAACAACAGACCAATTAGGCAACCCTCTCTCAGGGAATTTTACTTTATCTAGTGCTTAGCACGAGTGGGGACAGACCAGCGCAGCTCCTGATGGGTTAATCAGCTGTTGCTACCTGCAAAGTTTCTATATTTGGCTCCACATTCCTGCTCAAATAGGCTATTTTTTCTGCATTAAGGCAATCGCAATGGGTGACCTCAGCACTCGGTCAGTCCCCTCCTGATATAATGTCTATGATTTATCCATTTCAAATAGAATTTCACAAAAAATACTGTGTGAATGGAACATTTTCTCACCAAGATTTTCTTTGGCCACTACCAATTTTGCAGAAATACACTGAGCTGAACCCGAAGAAGCAAAGCTAAAAGGCTTCCCATTTTATTTCCGTTTAATCCATTGGACATGAGTGACAATGACTTTCAACTTTCCACACGGCAGCAATCTTTGACTCAATGCTTACTTTAAAATGTAATCACAATCTGCCGTTCCTGCATTTGGGATTTTTGTAGCAGACTAACAAAGCAACTGCCAAGATCAAGCCATCTGCAAAGTGCTACTTTCTTATATCCGTTGACTCTTAACAGAAGGCTGTAAAGTGCATGTAAGGCCCAACTCGGCTCAGTCCAAATGTCACGGCTTGCATTCTCCCTCTATGGCCCCCTTTAATGGGCTTTGGACGTGCTCTGAAGAGTGCGTCTGCCTGGGCACAGTGACAAACGCTTGCTGCATTGTTTATGTCTTTGAAGTCAGCTCGTTTGGTTATTCTCGGGCTGTTATGGTTTTCTTTGAGCATGTGGGCCACCCTGATTTCCCTTAGTTTTGTTACTCTGGGCACTCGCATCTCATCAGTCCAGCAGGCAGATGGAGAAAGAGATTGTTATACTTCACCAGCCACCACTGTTAAAATACAGTTTGTTTTGGTTCATGTGCGTATAAAATAATTGAGCCAAGCGATCCCTGCTCATGGTATGGTTCAAAGATTTCTCTCTATTGCGTTTGTAGATCTCAAGGGGATTAGCTAAACATATGTGCAGAGGGAAGTAACTCATTTATGTGTGGAAATATATGGATGTCAGTATATATGGTTAAATATGTAGCTCATGAACAGCCTTGGCGTTTCTGGCAAGAGATATGTATGCTAGAAATGTTAGCGTGTTATTTCATATTCTATGGTTATGACGCATGTGCAATTATCATGTTTGGGCCAGAAAAACAAGGAGATAGTGTTGTTAGTTACCTCCGATCTCTCTCCCACAAATCAGATCAGAAATTTAGGGTACCTTAAAATCTGGACCCAAATCTTAACAAACATAACCAAAAATAAACATCACCAGCTCTTTATCATCAATAAGGCATTTTTCCAGAATAAAAAGTATTGCGTCAAAACCAGGCTTGGAGATTCTTATCCATGTAGATTAGATACAATAACGGCTTGCTCACTGGTCTTTCAAAATGAGCTGTAAAAAAAACGGCTGCAGTTTATTCAGAATGCCGCAGCTTGAGTCTTGGTTCAAATCCAGGTTAAAACTAAAATATTCTATCTGATCTCCTTTTAAAATTAATTATTATAAAACATTCACAACAAATAAACAAACAATTAAAGCAGAATAAACAAATATGTACATAAACATTAATTATGTATATATTTTGTATTCTGTTTAAAAATATATATATTTGTTGTGTATATTTTGTCCAACCCATCAGGCACAAGTTTATTGGATAAGTGCTTGCATTTAAAATACATTATTTTTTTGTTTATTTTTTTTATTATTGGGGCGACAGTGGCTTAGTTGGTAGAGCAATTGTCTATCATTGTGTCCCTGAGCACTTAACCCCACTTTGCCTGAAACCCCTGGCCATCTTCCAGTGGTCCCACCACCTGCTGGAGGAGGGGCTGGTGCTAAGAGAAATTGACTAATAAAGGGGATGAAAATGAAGGAAAATAACCACCTGTAATATTGTCCATATTTAAACAAAAACATATTTCTTCATCCTCGGTGAAAACCTGGAGGATTGTAAAAATGTAATTATTCCTCTGCATACAGGCACTAGGCAGCTGCTTGTCCTCCACTGAGACCGGAAACCCTGTCTGAAACTTTAATGTTATATTAAATCTTGCTTTAGCATGTTTTATGCTAAACCACACGTCTGCATTGGATAGTGGTCAAACTCCCTTTAAAGCCTGCCTACTATAGAATGATAAAACATGAGGTATAAATGTGAGCACATTTAAATTCAGATTTAAAACCATGTTTGACATTTGACATGAGAGTCTCTGTGGCCGTTCTCCACTGCCCCATGAACTCTGTTAACCTCGTGGCTCAGCGGCCGCACTGCTCTGCCAGGTCAGGTCATCTTCCTTATCTGCTACAGTCACACTGGAGGCTGAGAAACGGAAAACAAGATAAGTATTGTCTGCGAAAGGCGCAGTTAGGAATCTGCTTCTCTGTTAGCTTTAAAGTTGTTGGACAGTAAATTGCACACAACAACTGGTAACGGAAGTGCACAGTCAGGTGTTTTGTTGGTCAGGGCGGTTTCTGTTCTCTTTTGTTGCAAAATTCAAGTCACAAAAGGCATTTTAAGCAACTTTTGATGGAGGTTGAGGCTTTGACCCAGAAAATGAAAAATTCGCACCTTTTGGAACAGCAGCACCATTGTCTTTGGTCTTCACAGTTTATGACAGAAATGTGTCAAGACCAGTGTTCCATAAAGTAACTGCGTTTCTTAGAGGTAAAATAAAATCCTGTTGTTGCTAACATAGTGCTCAAATGCTTCTATCAATACTAATAAACATACGTACAATACATACATACCATGACTAGCTATATTCAGTACTATGCCGTACTGTAGTGGCTGAGTGGATAGAGCTCAAAGCACGAAGGTTCAGTTTCTGTGTCCAAGCCTTTCTGTATGAAGTGTGCAGGTTTCTTGCTGTGGCTGAGTGGGTTCCCTCCAGGCGCTCCGGTTTCCCCCAGCACCCAAAACTGGAATACCATCCAGCGAAAGCAGTCCTGACAGGTTTTCCTATAGTGGCAGGGAAGGATGGATGACATGTTTCCCTAAATGGCCTATAAAGTATACGTTAAAATAAAAAACAAAGACGGTGTGATCTGTTTAAATGATAGAACGAGACCTCTCCATCACCAGCCTCAGTTTGCAAGATTTCTCTCATAAAAAAATGCTGTGATTTCCGCAGCTACTAAAGCATCTTCTTGGTTTGTATTCAACGCCTGTATACAACTAAATAAGTCTTTAGAGAAAGGAAGTTGACGTCTATTTCATGAATGAGGTTATAAATAATACTTCTAAATAAACTGTGGCTATCCAAACTCAATCTTCATCTCATTATGGCTCGAATTTGTATTTCTCGTTCAATAAATCAATGTTTTTGCACTGTATTAATGTGGGTGCAAGGCTGTAATTAATTACTGTGTCTCTGAATGTTTGAGACTTTATCGCTTAGTGCAGCAGCAGAATAAATACAGAAGTGAGTGCATCAATGCTGACACCAAAGTCTAACATTACGACCTGCTGATTTGAAATGTCTCAATGTGGGGACATCTTTTTACATTTCAAAGTAGCATAAGTGGTCAAACATCTACTGTAAAAATTGGTACGTTTTCCTAAAGATTCAGATTTATTTTAACATAAATCATATCAATATAATGACGCTTACTTGTCTTGGCAGAGCTGGGTATTAAGGAACATTTTGTACCTTTATTTTTGGCAAAAATGAAGTCCTGGATTTGAACTAATGTTCCCACCCTGTACCCCAGCTCCTCAGGGAACATTTTTGCTAAAACCTTAAAATCGTTGCACTTCAATGTTATACATATTGATGAAAAACAATTTGCACGCTTCACTCTTATTTCATCATAAAATCCAACCCACATTCAAAGTTTCCAAGAAAGTTTTCATTCTGTGTGACCTCAAAATGCTTCAACTAATGATTTCTCATCCTCTTTGTCAGATCACCTGCTATAATCGCACTTCTCCTGCTCCTTTGTGACACATGCCTGGATTACTCCCCACATTATTCCACCTATTTCAGACCATTCATGCGCTCAAACACCCAACTGCTTAAAGTAATACAAGCATGATCCTCAGGGAATTGTAAGTCTATGACTTTATTTTCATCTCGGCGTTCCATCTCTTGCTCTTTTTTATTGGGATATGATGCTAAGAATTCCCGTGTCAAGGCATGTGCCACAGTGTGCGTTGCCGTAGCGCTATCTTTGGTTAATATTTGATGTTTCCTATGGGCTCTGCTATATGACGATCAAACATAGAGCCAGCCTTGAAACGTCGCTGGCAATTTACACGTTTCAGTTTGAGAAGAGGCAAAGCATAGGGCTGTGGAGACCATAGGGGCAACGGTGAGAGATTGAGTTGTGCTTGAGTAATAGGAGGCGATTTACAAGCTCAGACCCCATACGGGCAGCCAATTAAAGCTGTTAGACCTTTATTTATAACGCCGTGCTTCCTGTCATTAGCCACTTTAAACAAAGCCTTGTCTCAGTTCACCTGTCAAAAGAAGAAAAGCATTCTGGTCATACTTTCTTTTCCTCTAACAGTAATCATTTATTGCGTGTGGGCAGGTGTGTGTATAGGCAATACGTACTGTATGTATGAATGTATACTGTGATTTTTGTTTTTGTTATAGCATTTCTTTATCATTGTCAACTTGTCAACGATAAATATATAGACCCAAGGAAGAATAGCTACTGTATGTTTCAGTAGCTTTTGGATCTAAACAAAAACAAACAGACATTTCTCATGAAAATGGTTTTGCAGATGCATATTACACAGTCTGTTAAAAACTTATCTTTCATTTATAAAATATTCAGCATGTCGTCCAGAGCACATGGAGAGATCATACATTGCGCGTCAAGAGACTCGGAGGAAAAGGAGAAACTGCGAGCCAGCGTGGGGGCACATCTCCACCACAGGAGAGAGCCACAGTGGTCCTCAGCAGGACTCAGGCTCACACTCAGGCTCACACTCAGGCTCACACTCAGGCTCACACTCAGGCTCACACTCAGTCTCACACTCAGGCTCACCATATTCCGGTCTGTCTATACGCACAGGACTGTAGGTCGGAGGGTGAAATTTTTTTTAGCATCAACTTATTTTAATGCAATTAAAGAGAAAATTAGTTAAAGCAACAATTCAGTGTTAACGCTGACCAAAGGAAAATATGAAAATGTTACAAATTCTGCAGTGTTTTAACTGATATTTTATCTAAATTACTGATCAGGCCCTTCAATATTTGAGGATTTTCTTTTTTTATTCAAGAAAGTGGGTAACTACATCGTCATATATTTTGGATGTGAGAATTTGGATAATAAGCTACGGAAGAATGGGAAACCACCCCATGCATATGAAATGTAATGTGTGCCGCCCCTCCCAGTACGGCCTCCTGTACAGGAGCAGAAGTGTGCCCTCCCTGAGACACAGAGCCTCCAGCTGTTTGAACATGGAGGAGGTGGGCCTCATAAAGGTTTCATTTTGTGCTGCTCGCTCCATAAAGCCTGGATTCTCTCCCCTCTGCTGTTTAAGCCAGTCCCTGAGTGTTTGCAGTGGGACGTTTCTATATTATTATCATCATTAGGACAAAAGCAAGGATTTGAAGTCCATTAGTGTTACGACGAGGCTATCGCGTAACTCTTGAGTGGGTTGTTTTCTATCTAATGACCCCAAATTTGAGCTCATATAAACGCCATTGAAAAACTGGGAGTTGCACAAATGTTGAAAGGGTTAAGATAATGAGGTATAATTATCTACTTATAGTTAGGATGTATTTTGTCTTTGTTTTTTCTGAAAATACTGGCCAAATGAACACATAATCAAATAATGTCCTAGTTTAGTCCCTGCTTTTTATTAAATCATAGAAAAAAATGATTTAACCTTGCTACACCAATCATTTTTGTTCAGAGAAAAATTGAGTTCCAAAGTCTGCCTAGCTGTAATTTTACATGGTAGAAATACAGAAAGATCTGGAGATTATTTGACTGTTGAATAAGCAAATGTTGGGTTTTGACAAGTCTCTTTATACAGCTGAGGTAAATGTCACTGAACATTGGAAATTTAGGTACCGAATTAAATCAAAAAGCTCCAAGTGGAATTCATGTAAAATCCCTATTTACTTTTTTGCTCATTTTTGGTCAACTGGTCCTGGTTCATCCCAGAATGTTTGATTTGACATGTCATTAAATTGCATTTCAAAAAGAGTTTGGCTGACAATAATCTGGTTGTACTTGTCCCACACATACAGTGGGGCAAAAAAGTATTTAGTCAGCCACCGATTGTGCAAGTTCTCCCACTTAAAATAATGACAAAGATTTGTAATTTTCATCATACATCGTACACTTCAACTGTGACAGACAGATTGTGAAAAAAAAATCCAGGAATTCACATTGTAGGATTTTTAAAGAATTTATTTGTAAATTATGGTGGAAAATAAGTATTTGGTCACTTCAAATAAGGAAGATCTCTGGCTCTCACAGACCTGTAACTTCTTCTTTAAGAAGCTCTTCTGTCCTCCACTTGTTACCTGTATTAATGGCACCTGTTTGAACTCATTATCTGTATAAAAGACCTGTCCACAGCCTCAAACAGTCAAACTCCAAACTCCACTATGGCCAAGACCAAAGAGCTGTCGAAGGACACCAGGAAAAGAATTGTAGACCTGCACCAGACTGGGAAGAGTGAATCTACAATAGGCAAGCAGCTTGGTGTGAACAAATCAACTGTGGGAGCAATTATCAGAAAATGGAAGACATACAAGACCACTGATAATCTCCCTCTATCGCAAGATCTCATCCTGCGGGGTCAAAATGATCATGAAAACGGTGATCAAAAATCCCAGAACCACACGGGGGGACCTGATGAATGACCTGCAGAGAGCTGGGACCAAAGTAACAAAGGCTACCATCAGTAACACACTACGACGACAGGGATTCAAATCCTGCAGTGCCAGACGTGTCCCCCTGCTGAAGCCAGTGCATGTCCACGCCCGTCTGAAGTTTGCCAGAGAGCACATGGATGATACAGCAGAGGATTGGGAGAATGTCATGTGGTCAGATGAAATCAAAGTAGAACTGTTTGGTATAAACTCAACTCGTCGTGTTTGGATACTGAGTTGCATCCCAAGAACACCATACCTACTGTGAAGAATGGGGGTGGAAACGTCATGCTTTGGAGCTGTTTTTCTGCTACGGGGACAGGACGACTGATCCGTGTTAAGGAAAGAATGAATGGGGCCATGTATCGTGAGATTTTGAGCCAAAACTTCCTTCCATCAGTGAGAGCTTTGAAGATGAAACGTGGCTGGGTCTTCCAGCATGACAATGATCCCAAATACACTGCCCGGGCAATGAAGGAGTGGCTCCGTAAGAAGCATTTGAAAGTCCTGGAGTGGCCTAGCCAGTCTCCAGACCTCAACCCCATTGAAAATCTGTGGAGGGAGTTGAAAGTCTGTGTTCACTGCTCTCGAGAAGATCTGCATGGAGGAATGGACAAAAATACCAGCTACTGTGTGTGTAAACCTGGTAAAGACCCATAGTAATCGTTTGACCTCTGTTATTGCCAACAAAGGTTATATTACCAAGTATTGAGTTGAATTTTTGTTATTGACCAAATACTTATTTTCCACCATAATTTACAAATAAATTCTTTAAAAATCCTACAATGTGAATTCCTGGATATTTTTTCACATTCTGTCTCTCACAGTTGAAGTGTACCTATGATAAAAATTACAGACCTCTGTCATTATTTTAAGTGGGAGAACTTGCACAATTGGTGGCTGACTAAACACTTTTTTGCCCCACTGTATGTGTAGTTTAGGGTTATTTGTTTCTAAAGATTTTGAATTTTTACAGCCAATTCAGTTAAAGATCTAACACAAGTACCTAAACTAAAACGTTTTTATTTATTTATTTCAGAGCCGCCAACTCCCCAGCGGCAGATTCGTACTGGTCCAGAGTGAGAGTCCCGGGTTTCGGGTCTCATCATTGAGCCCATGAAACAGACAAGGGGACAAAATACAGACTGCATGTAAAAGTCAAACTAGATTATGGGATATATTCTATTCATAAATGCTGTATTCTGGAAGCCTGTATACTTTCACTCGCAGATTTCGACAACCCAACCCAACAGATGTGTCATTAATACTTTGAAATTAAATGCTTCCTAAACATCCTATCCTCAGACTCATTCTGTGCGTCTGCTTTAGTTGCTCTGTGACTCACCGACCGCTGTCATTGAAGTGCTCCTGTTTTTATCAAACCCGGTGACGTGTTTCATTTGCAGCTTCACTCACTTGAATGCACTGGATCGAGAATAATTGGTAGTTTTACGCTTGCGGCATATCTATATATGTAATATTCACACGTTCATCTTTCTCAAACTGTTACTGTAGCTGTGAGTCAAGGTGCTGAATCATCTGGAGAGGTGTCCTGGCATATACATGTAATCAAACAACATTGAAGTGCAAATGTCATTTTCGAATGATTTTCTCATTTAAATTGCACCAATTTACGGTAAGTAGAGCTCAGGAGAGATTCACAGTTCATCACAGTGTTTGGGATACTTTGCTATACTTTTCACTTAAATGATTGTTCGCTATGAAAGTATATTAGTCTGAAAAACATGTTTAATAATTTACAGAACTTTGTGAAAGTGTGAAAAATTGTGATTTAAATTATGGTGATGGAGATGGTGATACTTTCTATTGTTTTAGTGCATCAAAAACTCTGAGGCCGTTAAAGTTTTACGTGATCCTTCAGGTTTCCAACTTCTCATTCTCACACACCTCTAAGGTTTGTCAACTTGATGGAAGCTACGCCCCGAGCCGAAAAGCACTTCGGGATTTGTGCATGTAGTAAATGTAAAAATATGCCAAAACTGTGACGGAATGTTCAAATAATATTCTAAATATCTAAATATCTAAACATCTGCACCTAGATTATAAGTCACTTGCCTTCCCTTGTGGCTGCTGTTCACTGCACATGCCCATAATAATAATAATCTTGTGTATCATGAAAAGTCTGACCTGTCAAAAGAAATGCACACCATCACAAACACATTTCAAAAATGAATGAGTATTGCAGCATCCATTTTTCCTTTCAGCCATTACAGCCCTCATCAGATCATTTTTCTCTTTTTGCTTTGGACCAGTGTGTCTGACGAAGGCTGTAATGGCAGAAGTGTTATCATAGGTAAAACATTGACATCTGCTACGTGAGTGTGCAAGGCTTTCATTTCAACATTCTGTTTAGATTTTGAGCATCTCAGAGAACATTATCATGGATACTTTATTTGATTGTTTTATCCAACACCGAAACAAACATGCAATAACCATTTATTTATGTACATTCGGGACTATAAGGTGCACCTGTATATAAGTTGCACAATTAACAACGTTATAATTGTCCACAAGCCCCAGGTTTTCATGTTGTATTATAGCAGACGTCTGTTTTAACTGATTACATGATTTAATTATGATGTGTTTAACAGCTTTACCGTTATTTTCCATGCCGATACTCATCCACCATCATCTACTATATTTTGAGTCATTTAAGTCATGGAAATGTTCATGAAATGGTCACTCAGGATCCTGATCTGTTCTGGTGCAGGGGGGGGGGGGGGATCTACCATTTATATTTAATGGTGAAATTGTCATTATCATTGACTTATTGGCTATCAGACCTTTTTCAGATCAGGGAAGTGCGTTCTGCCAGTGTTTTCAGTGGATTTGACCTAACTTTGGAGAACAACAGAATATTCAGTTTTATGACTATATAAACACCAAGGGCCAAATGAGAGATTAGACTCTTAGCTTTAATCTGCAAAAATGGCTTGTTTTTACCTTTTACCATTCTTGAGCAATCGGTCATAGAATATAATATACTGTATATAGTTTAGTCCAAAACACACATTACCCAGACTCTCCACAGTGTAAGTGCAGTGACATGATCACTAGGCCACTGTTACATACAATTGTCGATGGTCCCCAGGCAGGTTCTTCAACTGTCAATGAAGAACGTACCAAGTTTTGCATCAC